GCGACCGCGCACTTCCCGCCAGGCGGCCTCGATCGCATTGAGGTCCTGGCTGCACCTCGGGGCTCGAGCAGGGCGCAGAGCGGTCCCGGTGCCTCGGTCCAGAGGCACCGCTCGTGGTCTTGAACCAAAGAAGACCCCGCGTTCGCCCCCCGTCGCCTTGCGCAACCATGCGGGGAAATTGTGGTTGATGATCCACTAGTACCACCAGCGATTCATCGTCTCGCCCTCAGGGATGACGCAGATCCTGGCATGTCCACCGCGCTGTGTTTTTTTTTCACAGGGGGTGGTGGCCGGGTAGTTGCGCAACTACCCCGCAGTTGCCCAGCCACCGTCCACTCGACCTTGTTATTTGATACGGATGACAATCTTCTGTGATGCGGCGATATATTCTTACACGACAATTACCTGGATGTGCCCACCGCACCATGTATCAGGGATGATGGGCCGGGTGGGTGCTTGGGTGCTTGCATGTTTCGAGAAAAGGAAAAGCTCAATTTGTCATCTTTTTAAAATTCTACAAACACCCAACCTCCCGGCCCATCATCCCTGATAGCAAAACGCGCGGTGGGCGCAGCGTGGTGCTTGTTGTGTAAAAAATCGCATCGCCGCAGCACCGGTGATTGCCATCCGTATCAACAATTCATGTCGGGTGGACGGTGGCTGGGTAATTGCAGGGTAGCTGCAAAACTACCTGGCCACCATTCCTGGCAAAAAGAAACGCAGCGCGGTGGACATAGCCAGGCAGCTGCGCTGCGAAAAGTACACCGCGGCGACGTCGGGCGGCGGCGGGGCTACAGGGGCACAGGGCGACCACGCGCGCCAGTGTGTAGGCTTGAGAATGAGCCCCAGGATGGCTGCAATGGTGGCTGCGGCGATAATGATGACGCACCACCTAGATTGCACCACATCGAGGCTTCTTTCTAATAAGGAAAAAGGTACTACCACCCTCCCCCCGGGACTTATCGATTCACCAGGAACCTTTGCAAAACACATATAATTCTGACCCAAATGTCCATCTACCTGAACTCATACTAGTCCAACCAGGCCGGTATCGCCCCCTCCCCCCCCTCTCGGTTCCCTGGCAAGAATACTATACGGCGACATTTTATGGTATAGAGTAACAGCTGTTTCACGAATCCCTCGTAGAAAATACGACGAATACCTCGTAGAACATACCAAGCAGAGCGCACGCACGCGGCCGCTGCGCGCGCATGTCGATTTTTTTTCCAAACCCATTGTGTTTTTAACCATTTCAGCATCCCGCTTCGAGAACACCTATGGGGAAAAACATACGACTTCCTCACCCAATAATTATGAGACGTCTTCCCGCGCGTTCTAAACACATGGTGGTTTCAACAATTTCAAGGCCGAACTTCACGAAATCACACGAATCGTACCAGACATCCTCGAAAACAAATTGCAGAGTATCTTGGCGAAGGACCCAACAATATTCAGCTGTTAGTACCGCGTTGTGCGTGCCGCACTCGGTGGAACCCCCTTATGGGGCCACGGTCCACGTGATGGGTGTGCCGAGATGGGCGGGGGGACGCATGCAAACCCCGCCGCTGGGGCCTTCGGTGGAGCTCTCAATGGGGCCACGATCCTCGTGATGGGTGTGCAGAAATGGGCGGGGGGATGCATGTAAACCCCGCCGCTGGGGCCTTCGGTGGAGCTCCCTATGGGGCCACGATCGTTGGAGGGGTGTGCTGAACTGGGCGGGGGGGCGCATGCAACCTTTGCCACTGGGACCTTCGGTGGAGCTCTCAATGGGGCCGCGATCCTCGTGATGGCTGTGCCGACATGGGCGGGGGAACGCATGCAAACCCTGCCGCTGGGGCCTTCGGTGGAGCTCCATATGGAGCCGCGATCCTTGTGAGGGGTGTGCCGAAATGGGTGGCGGGGGCGCGTGTAAACTCTGCCATTGGGGCCTTCGGTGGAGCTCCTTCTGGGGCCAGGAAGCGTGTGATGGGAGTGTGCCGAATTGGGTGGCGGGGACGCATGTAACCTCTGCTACTGGTGCTTTCAATGGAGCTCCCGTTTGGGCAACGAAGCGTGCGAAAGGGTTTGCCGAATTGGGCGGCGGGGACGCATGCAACCTCTGTCACCGTGGTTTTCGGAGAGGCTCCCTCCGGGGCCACGAAACGTGTGAGGGGTGTGCCGAATTGAGTGGCGGGGGCGCATGCAACCTTCGCCACTGGGGCCTTCGGTGGAACTCCCTCTGGGGCCACGAAGCGTGTGAGGGGTGTGCCGAATTGGGTGGCCGGGGCGCAAGCAAACTCGGCCACTGGGGCCTTCGGTGGAGCTCCCCCTGGGGCCACGAATCGTGTGAGGGGTGTGCCGAATTGGGTGGCGGGGACGCATGCGAACTCGGCCACTGGGGCCTTCGGAAAGGCTCCCTCTGGGGCCACGAAACGTGTGAGGGGTGTGCCGAAATATGCGGCGGGGACGCGTGCAACCTCTGCCTTCGGCGGAGCTGGGCGAGGAGGAGCCTGCAACCTCTGCCACTGGGGCCTTCGGTGAGCTCCCCCTGGTGCCAGGAATCGTGTGAGCGGTGTGCCGACTTGGGCGGCGGGGACGCATGCAACCTCTGCCATTGGGGGGCCTGCGGTGGAGCCCCGTCTGGGGCCAGGAAGCGTGTGAGGGGTGTGCCGACTTGGGTGGCGGGGGCGCATGCAAAGTCGGCCACTGGGGTCTTCGGTGGAGCTCCCTCTGGGGCCAGGAAACGTGTGAGGGTTGTGCCGAATTGGGTGGCGGGGGCGCATGCAACCTTTGCCACTGGGACCTTCGGTGGGGCTCCCTGTGGGGCCACGAAACGTGTGAGGGGTGTGCCGAAATGAGTGGCGGGGGCGCATGCAAACTCGGCCACTGGGGCCTTCGGTGGAGCTCCCGCTGGGGCCACGAATCGTGTGAGGGTTGTGCCGCTTTGGGCGGCGGGGGCGCGTGCAACCTCAGCCACTGGGGCCTTTGGTGGAGCTCCCTCTGGGGCCAGGAAACGTGTGAGGGGTGTGCCGAATTGGGTGGCGGGGACGCATGCAACCTCGGCCACTGGGGCCTTCGGTGGAGCTCCCTCTGGGGCCACGAATCTTGTGAGGGGTGTGCCGAATTGGGTGGCCGGGACGCATGCGAACTCTGCCGCTGGGGCCTTCGGTGGAGCTCCCTCTGGGGCCACGAATCGTGTGAGCGGTGTGCCGAAATGGGTGGCGGGGGCGCGTGCAACCTCTGCCACTGGGGCTTTCGGTGGAGCTCTCTCTGGGGCCACGAAGCGTGTGAGGGGTGTGCCGACTTGGGTGGCGGGGACGCATGCGAACTCTGCCACTGGGGCCTTCGGTGGAGCTTCCTATGGGGCCACGAACCGTGTGAGGAGGAGGTGAGGGGCCACGAGCCGTGCGATGGGTGTGCCGAAATGGGTGACTATGACGCAACATCTGATGAAGTGATGATGAGGATGATGCTGCTGATGATGATGATGGTGATGATGGTAGTGCTGATGATGATGATGCTGCTGATGATGATGGTGCTGCTGATGATGGCGATGGTGATGATGATGATGCTGCTGCTGCTGATGATGATGATGATGGTGATGTTGATGGTGATGATGATGACGATGCTCAGGAAAATGATAAAGGGAGGAGGGGGAGGAGGAGGAGAGGAGAGGAGGAAGGAACGCTGGGCGCTGACTCCTCAAAACGAGGACCCAACACCACAGGATGGTTGGGAACAAATGCGAATTCAACCCGCGTGTTTTCCGAATTCTGAAAAACCAATGGTTTTTGTTTCCGCGTTTCTGTCACGCGAGCAACTTGTGCGCGCGCGTCGAACGCCTTCACCATCAGTCGTGCGCCTGCCAGAGCCACAATCCCTTGTAGCAAATACCATGCGGGGCACACGCGCGCGGCCGCTGCGCGCGCATGTCTAATTCCTTCCAAACACACTGTGTGTTCAACCATGTCAAGACCGTGCTTCATGAAATTACGCGAATCGTACCATGCGTCGAAACAAAACAATCAGCACACCAAGAAACAACATGCCTACCCGCGCGCGCTTTCCGAACCTTACAATTCCAATGATTTTTCAATGAGCCCACTGGGATGAGCCCAGCGGTCAGCGCCACCGCGGCCGCGTCGGTCGCGCCAAACTAGCTGGCCGCTGGCGCGGCTGCAGAGTTGCACCAGCCAGCACTAAACACTCATGGTAATCGCCGCCGCTTGTGTTTTGCAAGACAAGCTGCGGGTGGGTGGGTGGGATGGTTGCGCGAACAGTGGAGTTGACAGCTGCGAGTTCCACAAGTAAATTACCATTTCTAGAAATGAGATAGGCTCTACCCTCCCCCCCCTGGACTAATCGACTCCCCGGGAACAGATGCAAACCACGTAGGATTCTGACCCAATGTCTATCCAACTTTCGGGTTCATAGTATCCCAGCCAGGCCGGTATCGCCCCCCTCTTCGGTTCCCTTGGAATACTATACGGTGACATTGTTTGGTCCAACATAACACGTTTGTCGCGAACCCCTTGTCGAAACAAATACCATGCAGGGCACACGCGCGCGGCCGCTGCGCGCGCATGTCGAAATCCTTCCAAACAAATTGCGTGTTCAACAATCCCAACATCCCATTTCAAGAAATCCTATGAAAACGTACGACTGTCTCGCCCACAAAATCTGAAACATTTGCCCGCGCGCTCTTGCCGAATCCTTCAAACACCGATCATTGTCCAACATTCCAGTCGCATCGGGCTTCTTGGGCAACTTTCGCGCGCACGTCGATCTCATTCAACAGCGGTCGCGCGCCTGCCAGGGCCACAATCCCTTGTAAAGAATACCGTGCGGGGCTCATGCGCGCGGCCTCCGCGCGCGCAGGTCGAAATCCTTCCAAACACATTTGTGTGTTCAACAATTTCAAGACCGAGCTTCATGACATCGCACGAATCGTACCAAACGTCCTTGAACAACTACAAACAACATCAAACAAATACAACCCCCGCGCGCTTTCCGAATCCTGA